ATTTTAAAATATTATTATATTCTCTTCCTCATTTTTATACACTCTAAACATGTTTGGTATGATATAATGAAATGAAGTGGAGATAGATTGAGAGTAAAAATGGAATACGAGATTGAATGGAATGGAATGGAATGTCCATTCTCATTCCATTGTCTGGTTGTCAACGTGAAATGACATAGGAATATGATGATAATTCTCATTCTCATTAGGAGTGTAAAAATTGCCAGCGGCTCGAGGTGGGCCTGGCCCATTTACGCCCGTTTAGGCCCAGACCCAAGCCTAGCCTGAGACCTTGGGCTTGTCCGAGGTCCGACCCGCCTGTCCCAGTCCATTGACCCGCTTAGAGCCCACTCAAGACCCAGCCCACCTGAGGCCCAATGCCTCTTTTAGTAAAAAATAATAAAATTTTGGTAGAAAGAATTTTAAAAAAAATGCTCAGGCCCGCCCAAGCACGAGCCCAAGCCCAGGCCCACCAGCTTGGCCCGAGCTCGGCCCACCGACTTGTCCTTGTACTTGGGCTTGGGCCTAATTTTATGGCCCGTGGGCCAATTCGAATTTTGATGGGAGTTTGCGAGGCCTAACATGGGCGGGCCAAATTTACACCCTTAATTCTCATGTTTAATTACCTATTAAACTCATGAAATGAAATAAATTATTATTATGTATTTATTTTTTTAACAAGCTAGTAATAAATAAATTAAAAATTTATATAGATCATGATAATATTAAGAGTATGAAAGTGATAGTGTGAGTCATAGTAGTGGTGTGGCGGCGATGGTTGTGGCATCGATGGTAGTGATAGTAATGATAGTAGGATGGTGGTAGTAGATTGTTGTGGCCTCTTTAGTGGTGATAATAATTTGTTTAAATAAAAAAAATTATGTTATGCAAGAAAAAAAACGGCGATGTTACGTAATTTTTTTTGATAGAGTTATAATAATTTGTAATTAAAAAATGAAGTTACACATTTTGTAGTATGTTATGCATTTTTATGATAATATTACACATTTTATGGTTTGAAAATGTTTAAATAAAAAATTTATAATATTAACACAAAAATATATAACATTATCACATCTCGTGATTATCATCTTCCCTAACCATATACAAACTAATCTGTTTGAATTGTTTCTTGAAATTAAATCATGAAACACCGTCGTAAGGAACTCTCGGAAGATTGCTGGGAATTGATTCTGAATCGATTAGCAATCGATGACTTCAACTCCTTGCAATCCCCTTCTTTGGTCTGCAAGCAATTCCTCTCAATCACCGATCGAATTCGACTCAAATTGGAGGCCTCCGACAGATTGTTCTACAGAAATAACTGTGATACTTTATTCAGATCCCTTCAACGATTCAGAAACCTCAAAGAGATCGAGCTTCGTGATCCTATCTTCGGTGACAAAGCCGATGTCAAGTACCCCATTCGAAGAATCGCTTCTTCAGGGTTAGATCTTCAATCCCTCTCTCTAACCTGTTTACGAAAACCCCCATTCCTGAAAACTTTCATGAAATTGGGTTCCACCATGAAGAATTTGAAGATTCTAAGATGTTGTCTACTCGAGTGTCTTCGCAATCACCACCTTGTTGCTATAGCTGATGCTTTACCATGGCTTGAAGAGCTCGACATCCAGTTTTCCTGCTACTATTGGAGCCCTGGGCGGGATTCAAATTCTAGAAGCGCAAAGTACATGGTAACTGACGCTGGGATCGAGGCATTGTCGCGTAAGCTTTGGGGGTTGCGTAAAATTGATATAACAGGTCAGGTTGGTTGTTCTGATCGATCTCTCATTGCTTTGTCTTCAAATTGTGTTCTTTTGAATGAAATTCGTTGTGGTTCATGCAAAGTAACTGAACATGGACATTTGTTTTGTACTACGCCATAGTCGAAACTTGATTTGTTTCAAAGCGGGACACTATTACAGTTCGCCAGACGTTTCGTTCACTTTTGAGAATTCCATGATTTATGCAACATCTTTACGTGATCTTGAGTTAGACCCGCATGGAAATCATGACCGACTAATTTGTTCCATTGCAGCAGCAGGCATTCAATTAGAGAAGATCATATTGTACAATGATTCTGGTTTGAGCTTACATGGACTCTCTACTTTCTTTTGTGCATGCCCATCTTTGACACACGTGATGTTTTGTTCCATAGATATCCTCACCGACAATTCCATGAGGGATTTATGTCGATATCTTCCTAATCTTGTGTCCATAAAGTTTTACCAGTGTTCAAACTTAACCACTGCAATCTTCTTCATCCTTGCAAAAGAATGTCCTGTGCTTTCAGAGATTGAAATGCCACATATAAATCTACAAGTTGAAGATAATTTTGATATGGATTTGGAGAGGAATTATCAAATTAGATCCTTGGATTTGAGTTGTGCTCGTGTGAATAATGAATTCCTGAAAAAAATAGGGGTTGTTTGCCCCAACTTACAGACTCTCAATGTTACAGGACTTTACACATTGACAGAAGGCATTGAGGAAATTTTGAAGTGCTGCTCGCAGATTAAGCATTTGACAGTGGACAGAACTAGAGAAATAGTCATCTTAATGGAACAGTTCAAAACTCGCAGCATTAAAATTGAACATCTTTGGAAACTAGAGGAGGTCAATGACTGATATGAGTTATCTCTGGCACTTGCATTCTGTACGTAAAGAGAGAAAGATAGTTCTAGGGCTGATTGGACTTGTGAATTGAGGAGGAAGAATTGTCAGGGCTATTTGTTAGGAAAAATGCCATATTCCCTCTGCATATTTCTCTGATTTTTTGCAGTCTGAATTTGAAAAGAAGGCTTGTAATTTGAACTCTTAAAAGTTTTTGTATTTTTTTTTGGGCACAAGATAGCTGTTAGTATGTTACTTAGATTACAATGCAGGCCAGCGTTTCTCCATTGACTTGAACTTTGAAATCTCACTCACCTTGGCACATAAGTGCCCTTCCCATGACCACTTGTTGCTGAGGTGATTTTATTGAAAAGCATTTAGCCTCATAACTTGCATTTGAATCATTACTCATTGATGATGCATGATCAACTAGTCTCAAATCCTATTTACTTGTACAACATCTTTTTGAGTTTTGTTTGCCTTAAGTGATATGGAATATAATGTTTAAACAAGGGTCCAACTGAAAAATTGGGAAGGAAACGTAAAAGCTGCTGGTCATTGTGAAATGAAATTACAGATGATGCCTTTTTGGGCTGACATCTCAATGATAATGCAAACCAAAATTCTAGAAATTGGAACATTTTCTTTTAGCTATAGAAGTGAACGATAAGGTTTGACAAATTGGAATGAAAACATTATCTTTGATTCTTTCAGAATAGGAAGAGTGAAGTACCATGTGTTACCTCCACTCCCATTCATGTTCTTACCATGGGTGAAATGATTAGCTTAGCCTGGTTGTGCAGTACAATCCAAATATAGGCTGCTGAGGAGGATAAAATTGGTGTTTCTATAGAAATGGTTGGACTTCTTACTCCCAAGGAAACTACTTCCAGGACTAGTGTTTTTGGATTGCCATGTGTTCAAGAACAACTCACAGTATGTGGACCAAGAAAAAACAGTTACTTGTTCACTTGCTTGCTCTTCCTCTTCTTTGTCTAAACCCCTGCAAAGTGTTTCCTAAAGCATTGTATTTAATGTCCTTAATATTATAAAGCATTCGCCAGAACAGCAAAGGTATCTATTACAACAAAATTCAAGTTCTGGGCATTGTGTGGCATCCGACGTTACCAAAAAATATTGATACCCTAGCGAATTATATTTTGAAATGCACGTTTCAAAATATGTTGCACTTTCATTTCAAAATGATAAATTTAGTGATCCAAAGTGATCTCAATTTTTTTTTCCCCCAATATATTTGTTTAAGGTTTCCTTGGAAGTAAAAATAAAAAACAAAAAATAAAATATATATATATACCAAATATAATAAACAAAAATCTAAAATAAGCTTAGTCTTGACTTCATAGTACGTAAAAAATGTCATAATTCTCATAGAAATATCAGGCTATATGACTAATTTAGAAAAATCCTAAATTTTATTTGATATTTAATTGTCAATTATACTAATTTATTTTTATCGTATCATAATTTAGAACATATAGTGTACCACATTTTTGTTGTCGTTTTACGTATTAGAATGATCTACTTGGCGTAAGCATAGTCCGGGGTTTGGATCAGTTTGGGATAAAATCAAAACCAATCCATTGTCTATGGTTTCATAAAAATTTGAAACAAACCAAACCATTAAAATTATGGTTGGCGACTAAAATTGGCGACTAAAAAAAATTTAGTCGCCAAAAGTTGTGGAATTGGCGACTAAATATTTTTTTAGTCGGCAAAAGTAAAATATTTAGCTACTAATTTTTTTTAGTAGCTGTATATTGGTTATTGGCGACTAAAAAATAATTTAGTCGCCATTGTAGTGAAACCAAACCATTAAAATTATGGAACCAATCTGAACCAAATCATTTAAACATGGTTCAGTTCAGTTTTGAACCACGATTTCACATAATCTGTTCACAAAAAAAATCATATAACATTTTAACCTATCATAAATTATGTAAATAATAATAGCATATCCATCAAACAAATTACTCTCATAATATTCACCAGTTAAGCAAAAGTATAAGGAAAATTTAGCCAAAACCCAGGGAAATTCTATTTCCACACACCTAATTACATCAGTTCACATACTTAATGAAATATTATTTTAATGACAATTATATCCTAAATTAAAATGACCACGATGGACATCCACTAACACACATAATATTATATCAAAATATTCTTTGTACACATCTTTTAAAAATAAAAAAATCTCAGTGTACATATTTTGAGTAGAAAAAAATTAAACCCCAATTTCATCATTATTTGTCACTTTTTCCATTGTTTTTGACTTTGCTTGCTACACACTCTATACTCTTCTATTGCTTGCAAAGCAATACTCTTATAACAACTCTCATATTGCTTTACTCTCTAGGTTTATACTCCATTATTTATATCGTTTTCTCATTAGTTCTACAATTATTCTTGATTTTATTACAGAAGAGTTACAAACCAATGGAAGTTCAAAATTACGTAAAAATATGCCTGATGACAGCAAAAGCAATAATGAAAAGGTTAGTTTTTTCGTGTAGATTTTTTTTTTCCATAATTAATTCGAAAAACCAATGCCGAAATATTATATTTTATTCAGAACTACAGTGGCAAACAAATTAGTATATTTCGAAACTATAATGTCGAAAAAAATCAATCTATTTCGAAAACCAAGTGTCGAATTAAAAAATAAATTTCGAAAAACCAATGCTGAATTCCCAAAATTACAATTCTTCAAGGAAAAAAATGAGGGTTTATTCTAATTTGTCAATGCACTTGACAAAGAAAACTAAATGGTACCAAATCTGATAACAAAATTGAAACCAAGTAATCTTTAACAGATTTCAGAACTAGAGTGTCGAATGGACGAGGAGGGTTTTCAATAGAATTATTGTCAATGGAGGGTCTTAGGTCTTCAGTCTCTTCAATGGAGTTTCTTTGACTATAAACCGAAATAGGGCAGATTGTTGCTCTTCAATTTTGAATAGATGTGTGGAAAGAGGGTTAAGGTAGTGTGTGTACAAGATATGAGTTAAGAGTGTGATTGTAATAATTGGTGTGTGGAATGAGAACAAAAATTAATAATTACATTACTAAGTATGTGTACTGAGAAAAGATGTGCACTGACATAAGTAGCTATGTAGAAATAGAATTTCCCCAAAACCCCTCCATTGGACCTTGTTTGGTGAAAAGGACAACCCAATTTATTTTGTTTCATAAACTCGATAAAGAGGAAGCGCATAATTGAGTAAAGACAAAATATTTTTTTTTTCTTTTTCTTGGACAATATATATATATATATATCACATAACTCTTCTGATGAGAAACACTAGTATTTTATTTTATACAAGTTTAAAAATGTTGTCAATGTGTATTTTTGGTTGGTTCATCTAGTATGTACTCTGTTTTTTTGTAATAGTAAAATGTTAGTATGAACCAGAGTAATATGTTACTGTGAGATAGAGTAACGTATTACTATCAAACAGAGTAACTTATTACCGTTTATGGAAATTTCGATGGTGTTTTTTGTTATCTTTTATTTTTTAAGAATTTCATAGTTAACATGGATCTTGTTTAATAGATCTTGATGAGAAGATTCTAAAAATGCTAATTTAGTTAAAAACCAACATTTAGACCAAAAGTTATATTATTTTAAAATTTAAAATATTAAATTACTCACTAAATATATTTTGATAATAGTGGTATATGTTGGACTTTCCAGGAAAAACTTTTTGTACTTCTCTTTAATGCATTAAAGTTTTATTATGTGAGGCTTTGATCAAATTTTCCAAAATATAATATTAAGCAAATATTGTTCAACATTAATCTGTCATGATTTTTCAAAACATAAACTTTAGACCACATCTTTGAGCAAATTGATGATTTTCCCTGGATCGTAACTGGTTTTTGACGGATTTGTTTTTTGTTGTTTGTTTTTTTGGTTGGGATGGCCCTTTAGGGTCTTGTTTATGTATTGTTGTTGTTTCATTAATATAATGTTTCTCATGTTCTCAAAAAAATTGAATAAAAATAATATCTAACAAACAAACATATATGGTTATACGGTCTGGTTCGGTTCAAATCCAAAACTGCAATTGTATATCCAAAACTAATCCGCGGAGACCGATTCCCCAATTTTCCAAACTAGAACTGAACCATGAATTAAAAATACCAAACCAAACTTACAAGATTGGTTTGGACTAGTTCAGTTTATAAATGTTTTGATTTTCTTACTCAACCCTATGATCTACAGCCTAGGTAACATAAGTTGCATCAAAATAACTGAAAATTAGGGAGATATTTAAGGAAAAATCAATATATATCCATGAAACATCTAAGAATGTGGAGACAAGAAGAGAAATTCATATAAAGATTAGAATGATATATTGCTACTGCATAATCAAATTGAATGATTTAGAATGTAACATGTAGATTTTAATATTTCAATATTTGCAAGGTGTTCATTGTCAGTGGGAGGAGTTTGAGAAGGTTCCTGATGCTTGCAAGGCTCGGTTACTGTTGTTTAGTGTGCTTGCTTGGGTGGCTATTTTTTAGCTTCTAGGATATATCCTTGGCTTGCTTTTCTTTCTTTTTTGCTCTTTTATGGCTTACATTACTCTTGTTTTTAGTTCTTTGTTTGTATTGCAACTTAATGTTTTTAAAAATAAAGTTTCTGATTTCTCAAAAATTGCAGAAGCAGAACATTAACCTGCACATCTACAAAGAAAATTACGGTAAAATATAATCATAATTGAAAGTTTTAAACCAACAGAGATGCAACAAGACAACATGCAATGGCAACTTTATTATAAGGATGCATTACAATAACGGTTCCCATAGTTTGAATCTTGTGTCACTTTGATCCATAACTTTTCAATTGTGACATATTTGACCTTAAATCTTGAATTGTGTTCCAAATAAGGACAATTGAAGATACTATTGCTCAATTTCAAAGGCAAAGTTGTCAATTTAATAAAATATAAATTAATCTGACAAAAATAATGTCAAAAAAATATTTTTAAATTTTTAAATATTATTTCTACCCACTAAAGATAAAATTATGTAAAATTTGATAAATTTTCTAGACATTTGTTTATTTATTTTTTACCAGATTAATTTTTATTATGTGTTTGGATGATGATCATGGGTGGTAGTTTTTATTTTTATTAAATTAGTTTCTATTTTTTTAAAAGTCAAATATAGTGACAACTTTGATATATTAAACTAATCCATCAAATCAAAAAATCAATCAATCTATTTCGGAAACCAAGTGTCGAATTAAAAAATAAATTTCGAAAAACCAATGCCGAATTCCCAAAATTACAATTCTTCAAGGAAAAAACGAGGGTTTATTCTAATTTGTCAATGCACTTGACAAAGAAAACGAAATGGT